AAGAAAAAGGATGTGAGACAAACAGACAAACACACTTATGTAGCTACCTACAATATATTTTTCAAACTGCTGATGGGGTCTCACAGCTTTCTGGAGAAAGTAGCTTTTGGTGGTGACTTTAAATGTTTCAGTGGTGGCCCAGGATGAGAAGGCAGTATGAAAGTATGTATGAAAGGCAGTATGAAAGCAGTGTGAAAGATGTTTGGAGGAGGAAAGTTGCAGCAAATAAATAAATAAATGTTTCAGTGGTGGCCCAGAATGAGAAGGCAGTATAAGCAATGTGAAAGATGTTTGGAGGAGGAAAGTTGCAGCAAATAAATAAATGGTCCTTTAAGACTAAAGCTTGGAGTATTAGAAATGAAAGTGAGTAAACTAGGTTGTCGGCCCCCTTGGGGTGAAGACTTCAGATGCGTGGGTAAAATGTAGTTCCATTTTGCTTCCACAGCTGTCTCTTAGCCTGTTAACATTATTCCAGAACTTTCCCCCTTAGAGAATGAGGCATCAGCTCAGCATTTGACATTTAGGTGCTTTTAATGCTGTGAGTTTCTGATCTGCTGCTGGTTGGTTTGGTAACAGAAAAATCTGCCAATTTCTGGACCTTTTTTTTTTTTTTTAAACCAAGAACTGCCTTTTTCCATAAATCTCCCCCTTCAATGAAAGCATTGCCTCTTTTGTTTCTCCTTTTCTGCATCTATATGTATGAAAAGCAATTGCCTGTTGTAGGAATGAACCTCAGCCAGTTGGAGGAAGTCTTATTATTTTTCCTATTAGGCCTTGTGTCCCGAAATCGCCCTGAGGAGGAGGACCAGTATTGGTTGAGTATGGGCAGAACTTTCCACAAAGTGACACTGAAGGACAAGATGATCACAGTAACTCGATACCTTCCCAAGTGAGTTCTTGGATATTTAAAGTCTTTAGCTACTGTTCTGGATTATGTCTGCTTGCTAATTGTGTATAGTTCTTAGTTCAAACAAAGGAAGTTGAGTTGTTAGTCTTTTCTTTGTTTTAAAATAATCCTGAGATGACTTTAAGGTTATAGCTTACTTCCAAATTTGATTCAGCTTATGTTTAGCATGATTACTATTGAACCAATTAAAAATGAAGAATGTGAGGGAGCTGGGGATATAGCTCAGTTGGTAGAGTGCTTGCCTTGCATGCCCAAGGCCCTGGGTTCAATCCCTAGCACCGAAAAACAAAGAAACAAACAAACAAAAAAAA